GTAGCGGGTCAGTGCGCCCATAACCCCCCAGGACAACGAGCCTGTAACCCTTCCCTAGGATCAATCAGGGATCACCAGTGGACCTCTGACACCCCCCCGCACTAGGATGCCCGAAGTGCACACACTGGGATTCGAACCCGAGACCTTCGCTCTGATAACATGTCAGAATCCCAACCACTTGACCATTGGGATAAAAGCGCTTGTTAAGTAGCGGGTCAGTGCGCCCATAACCCCCCAGGACAATGAGCGTGTAACCCTTCCCTAGGATCAATCGGGGATCACCAGTGGACCTCTGACACCGACGAGTGAACGTGGCCAGGTGACGTCCCGTCCATGTACATGTGCAGATCGACACACGCTGACCCCCAGGAGTGGTGGTAGTGACCATCGCATCCTGGAGGGCAGCGGTACTCACCAAGTTTGTAGAGAACGAGGGGAGGTGAAGACCTGACAGTGAGCCGGACGGAACCGCCGGACACGGGAGGACAGTGGAGGAACCGGCCACGACCGGTCCCCCAGAAGGGGTCAGCCTGCCTGACCGGGACAGGTGTAGGAAGAGGAGTGAGGGTGGTGCTGTCACGAAAGAAACAGCGCGAGGCGCCTGAGTCCAACGTGAAGGTGTGCAAAGCCTCAGCATGCGCAATACCAGGGAGAGTACCAGACTCACTAGCACCTAGAGTAGCAGCGGCTATACTTGGGTCAGGCAGCACACACCGGTAACAGTCACCCTCAGCACTAACAGACAAAGCATACATAGCAGAAAGAATAGCATCAAAGTCTAGGTCAAAGATAGCAATCCTAGACTTAAGCAGATCTGCCCACTGACGGAGCTCGACGTGGTCACCAAACTCAGCACGCCAAGCGTCGTCGGGGCGGAAGAAGCAGCGGTGCTGAGTGTGGAGCCGCCCGCAAGTCTGACCAGCACGGTCATCCGTGCAAATGACATACGGGCAACTACCCCCAGACTGCCCACGCAGAAACCACTCACGAAGTTGCTTGGGAGACAGGGTCTCGCTCCGACGCTGCTGCTGCTGACGCTGGCCACCCCCAGAACCGACACGCCGAGCGCTAGTCCCACCGCCACCAGTCCCACCGCCTCCGCTGCCGCCACTCCCACCGCTGCCTCCACCACCGCCACCAGAGCCCCCACTCCCGCCACCACTCCCACCGCCGCCACCACCTCCACTGCTGCCCCCTCCACCACTCCCGCTGCCACCTCCACCACCGCCGCTGCCACCACCACCACCCCGGCCACCCTTGCCCTTGCTGCTGCGTCGCTTTGCACTAGCAGAAGCAGCCCCGACGTCCTCAGAGACAGAGACATCTGCAGCAGCAGCAGAGGCGTAGGAGGGGGCAAGGGGGGAGGGGGAACACCCCTCAAAGAAGGGCGGGCGCGGAGTGCCACGAGCAGCACCTACAGCAACTGCACTAGTCTCAGCTGCGAGGAGATGCTGCTCGAGGAGGTCAACAGTGAGGGAGGTGGGGTCAAGAGAGAGGAAGTGGTCCCTGACTGAGCGAAGAGAGTCAAGGAGGCGGGTGACTATAAAGTAGAGAGTGATGTATATCGGGGGCGGGTTCCTGTCAAGGAACTCAGCAGGAACGGCAGCGCGGTAGCGAGCGTCACTAGCGCGAAGGTGGGAAACCAGGTCCTCGACTGTGGCAAAGGCGGACAGCTCGGTGAACAGGTAGGGCAGAAGGAGGCGGCCTAGAGCAGCAGTGGCAGGGGAGGAGTAGCGGGCGACTACAGCGTCGTACAGTGCCTGTGCTGTCCTGTGCTGTCATGTGCTGTCCGAAGTGAGTGCACTCAGCTAATGGCAGGTGGTTGCGAATGGCCAAGCGGGCAGCAGCGTCTCGAGTAAGCCACTGTGAGCGAGTCGAACTGCCGGCTGTGGCGGGAGGGGCAGTAGCAGCTCCTGACGCTAGGTCAAAAAGCGAGACACTGTCCTTAGAATCGCTCAGTAGGTACAGCTGCAGGTCGTCAAGCCATGTGTCAAACTGAACTGGTCTACCCTAAGGACACGAAGCGAAGCCATGGCTGTGTAGTACGTAGGAGCAGCAGTAGCAGCTGTAGCAGTAGCAGTAGCACCTGTAGCTGCAGCAGCAGTGACAGTGGGGCGAAGAGGCCGCCGGGGCCGGGCGCAGGCTAGGGACGGGGCCGGGCGCGGGCTAGGAACGGGGCCGGGCGCGGGCTAGGTACGGGGCCGGGCACGGGCTAGGTACGGGACTAGGCGCGGGCTAGGTACGGGGCCGAGCGCGGGCTAGGTACGGTGCCGGGCGCGGGCTAGGTACGGGGCCGGGCTCTGGGCAGGTACGGGGCTGGGCGTGGGGCGCGAAACGGGGCCGGGCGCAGGGCTAGGTACGGGTCCGGGCGCGGGCTAGGTACTGGGCCGGGCGTGGGGCTAGGTACAGGGCCGGGCGCGGGCCAGGTACGGGGCCGGGCGCTGGGCAAGGGACGGGGCCGAGCGAAGGGGAGGTACGGGGCCGGGTGTTGGGCGCGATACGGGGCCGGGCGCGGGCTAGGTACGGGGCCGGGCGCGGCTAGGTACGGGGCCGGGCTCTGGGCAGTTACGAGGCCGGGCGTGGGGCGCGAAACGGGGCTGGGCGCAAAGCTAGGTACGGGGCCGGGCGCGGGCTAGGTAATGGGCCGGGCGCGGGGCTAGGTGCGGGGTCAGGCGCGGGCTAGGTACGGGGCCGGGTGCTGGGCAAGGGACGGGGCCGGGCGCTGGGGAGGTACGGGGCCGGGCGTTGGGCGCGATACGGGGCTGGGCGCTTGGCAAGGGACGGGGCCGGGCGTTAGGCAGGTATGGGGCCGAGCGCTAGGCAGGTACGGGGCCGGGCGCGATACAGGGCCTGGCGCGAGACTAGGTACGGGGCCAGGCGCGGGCTAAGTACGGGGCCGGGCGCGGGCTGGATATGGGGCCGGGCCCTGGGCAAGGGACGGGGCCAGGCGCTGGGGAGGTACGGGGCCGGGCTTTGGGCGCGATACGGGGCCGGGCGCGATACGGGGCCGGGCGCAAGGCTAGGTACGGGGCCGGGCGCGGGCTAGGAACGGGGCCGGGCGTTGGGCGCGATACGGGGCCGGGCGCGATATGGGGCCGGGCACTAGGCTAGGTACGGGGCCGGGCGTTGGGCGCGGAACGGAGGCCGGGGGCGAGGCTAGGTACGGGGCCGGGCGCGATCTAGGGGTCGACGGGCCGCGTAGGCTAGGAGCGACGGGCCTAAGGGCGGTTACTAGCAGCGTAGCAGGTGGTGGGCCCAAGGAACGTGCTCTGATTCCATGTCAAACTAACGAACGAGGATGAATGAACTAAGAAACAGTTGGGTACAAGTGCTAACCCTAATTGGGTTGTACCCCTTATGGGCTACCCCACTATAGCCTACACAAATGTATAAGCTATAATGTTCTGACACTTTGCATGTGAACTGGCCTTGTGGCCATTTGCTTGTGCTTAGACTGTATGGTGACTTTGTGATCCACCCTGAGCTTGCTTTGCCTTTCTTGACTGGTCTTGTGACCTCTTGTTCTCCCCCACTTTGCCTATGGGGGTGTGTCAAACTTATATGTTGCATGTTTTGTAGTCTGTAGTGGGGTAGCCCATATGGGGTACAATACAATTTAGGGTTAGTACTTGTACCCATCCTTCTGCTAGTTCATCCATTCTCTCGTTCATTCTTTTTGTCAAACTTATATATGCTATAGTCTGTTTAGGCTGTAGTGGGGTAGTTCTTAGAGGGTACAACACTTTTGCGCTTTCTACTTGTACCCATCTCCTTTCTAGTTTCATCTCATTCCTCTCATTATTCTCACACTTTTGACAGTGTATGTGACATTTGCCATGTTCCTCTATTAGTGTTTTGAGGAGTGATGCTATATCAGAATTAGTGCCGTGATTTAAGAGGGTAGAAATTTTTTGGCGGTAGTGCATGTAAACATGGGTCTATAAATTACAGTGCATCAACGCGACTACTTGTCCTCTCAGGGCAGAGCACAGTTGGAGGATGCATACCATGAGGCATTGTAATTGGGCATGTTCTTTCTTTGTACCATACTCATCCGAAAGTGTGACCGACCCCACTCACAATTGAATACAACTGTCAGCATGTAGCAAACTTGTTAATGATAATTGAATTCCTGTTCAACTAGTAGAATTAGTGCCGTCTGTTAGGTCCCCCCCTAATATATCATTGCACCTCCCATAAGAACCATGGGTCTTATGAAATGGAGGATTACTATCTTACATGAATGATTATGAAGCTTGTTTTGTGCCATAATGTATGCTTTCTGCTTGTTTGGAATATCTTCTCAAACAGCATTATTACTGACTATAGCTAAGGTATACAACGGATTATCATATGATTACAAATTGCTATAAATCAACCTAGATAGCCATGTAGAGTAAGGGATACAATCCCTTACTGCAGCAAATTTGAGGCAAATTTTTCCCATAGCATATTGTTTCCCCATACATAAATTTCACAAGTCACATCACATCACACATGGTCTAGTAATCAAGTGTCCTTTGCATCAGCAATCAAGTGTCCCAGCCGGTGCCCTGCGCGCCGTATGCACGCCATCCCAAACAGCACAGTTCCGCTCGTACGGGGCGGCGGAAACGGCCTGGGACAACGCACGGCGCGCAAGACGCGACAGGTTGGCGTATTCCCAGCCGTTATACTGCCACCACGCCATCACGTCCCCCTTCCCCTCCTGCAGCTCCGTACGCCCCGTTATCCCGTCCTCCATCCCGAAGCACCCCTTGCCGTTGATGAAAGCCAGCATCCCCTCATGCAGCGACCTGGACGATCCCTTCCTGCTGCTGGACTTCTTCCAGTATTTGTCGACAAAGGCCATCTGGCGAGACAACCATTCATTCATCACCTTGGTGCACTCAATGTCTTCGAGAAAAATCCCCTCCCCCTGGTTGGCCGGGTTCAAAATCCGGCCAGCCATGTGCCAGGCTCTTGTCCCAATGCCTCTTCAATGCTCATGCACCCCCTCCTTATCGGCCTTGCTCAGTCGACAGTCTGTCCCCTCCAGCAGTGTATCCAACTCCTCCGTCACCTGCAGCATGATGTCGTAAATCGCCCTCATCATCCCCTTTGCCGCCAAATCCGTCCTCCTCATCACCATGTACGGCAGCTCCATCAGTTGCACAAAGAACTCCGCCTTCTTCCACCACGCCCCATCCATCACCCACCCCTCGAACTACTCCCCTGTCGGCTTCTTCCCCCCAGTCCTTGTGCAGCACCATCTGCGTCAGCTGTGGGCGAAGGGCGCATAGACGAGACACTGTGATGTAATGCGTCCCAAAGTGCGTGCCCGCATGTCACAACACCTACAGCACCTTCTCGACATGCAGCTTGGGACTCCGCCGAAAGGCGCGCGTACACTGGTGGACGCGCAGGAAGGAGATCATGTCGTTGGCTTGGTCGACAACTTCCTGCGCCCACTCCATCTTGCTAATATCCTCCATCAGCAAGTCCAACACGTCAGTGGCGCAGGGGACGACCTCGATGTGCGGAAAATCCTTCTGCAACAGCTTGCAGGCAGACTGGTAGTTGCTGCCGCCACCCATGCAAAGCGCGACGACGTGCTCCGGCCCGTACCTCTCGATGATCGGTCGCAGGATGCCGGCGATGAACTCTCCACTCTTCGTCTCCGCCTTATAGTCGACCGCCTCTGCGAAAACAACACCGATGTCTTTGATGCAGATGATGTTCATCTGCGCGTGCAAGCTCTTGTACGTCATCATGTCACTGGCGATTGTCACACCCGTCTCCTCCACGTCTTGGTAACGGGCGCCAAGGCCTTCTCAATCCGCAGCTTGCACTCCAACAGCTCGGCGCCTCCGACGTACATGCGCTTGGGGGGGGGGGGGGGGGGGGCGTAGCTGGTATCGGCGACGACAATGGCTCGAATCATCTTGATGAAGAGGGGGTGCTTGCACCGAAGCTCCAATGTGCGCGTCCCCGCGAGGTAGAGGCAAATCGCATTGTCGGCCGCACGCTTCGCCGCAATCCCCCAATCGCCATAGAAATCCTCCATCCGCCCTCGTTTCACCGTAGGCTCCGTCGCGCTCTTGGGGCTCACAGTGTCGGGTACTTTCCCACCAGACTCTCCTCTAGCACCACCGACTCGGTCACCCCTCTCTAGCGCGTCTGCGCAGCATGCACTCCCGTCTCCTTGTCTTTGGCCTTCCCAGGTCTCTGGCCCCCTCCCGTGCTCGCCTGCCACGCCGTGCCTTCCCTGCGTCGAGGGGCGGCAGCTCGCCACTCCTCACTCCTCCTCGTTTCCTCCGACCACTGCTCCTCTGCAGACTCTCCACATGGACGTGTGGGCCCCCACACGCGTCAGTGGGACGGACCAAGAGCGCTACTTCGTGCTGGTTGTTGACGACTACACGCGCTACACCACCATTTTCCCCTTGCGCAGCAAGGCGAACGTCAGCGGTGTTTTGATCCCTTGGATCCGCGCTACTCGTCACCAGCTGCGCGAGCGGTTCCGGCAGGACCTTCCAGTCCTGTGTCTGCACTCTAACAGGGGCGATAAATTCTCTTCCGGCCTCCTTGCGGAGTTATGTCGAGCCGAGGGCATCGTCCAGGCGTTCACGCTCCGACCTCTCCGCAGCAAAATGGGATTGTTGAGCGTCGCATTGGCTTGATCATGGAGGTTGCTTGTACCTCCATGATCCATGCGGCTGCTCCCCATTTTCTGTGGCCTTTTGCGGTCCGATACGCCGCACATCAGCTCAACCTTTGGCCCCGTGTCTCTTTGCCAGAGACCTCGCCCACACTTTGTTGGACAGGAGAGTTTGGCGATGCGTCGGCATTTTGGGTCTAGGGCGCACTCTCCCTTGTTCGCGATACCACCGCGAGCAAGCTCTCTCCTCGCACTCTCCGCTGCGCCTTCCTGGGCTTCCCCACCGAAGCCCCGCCGTGGTAGTTTTACCACCCTCGCTCGCGTCAAGTCTTCTCCTCCCAGGACGTCACCTTTGTCGAGTCGGTCTGTTTCTACAGGCTACACCCGTAGGCGTCCCACCCGGTCCCCCTGGCGCCTCTCTTCCTGGTACCAATTCCCCCCCCCCACATGGTCTTGCTCCCTCAGGTGTCTCTCAGGTAGACCCACCCCCTTTGGTTGAGCCTTTGGTGATCTCCTCTGACACCTCTGGCCCAACTGAGGGGGGTGACCCCGCTGCTGACGACATAGCGACCACTCGTCACTCTCCATGCTTGGAGACCCCTCCTGGTTTTCCGCCTCCACCGTCTTCACCGCCTCTGCAGCCTGTAGCTGTGGACACTGGTGCTGCTGGGGGGTGGTGACATTGGAGGTGAGGACGCTGGAGGTGCTGGTCCTGGGGGTGCTGAGACTCGGGGTGCTGGTCCAGGGGGTGCTGAGACAAGGGGTGAGGGTTTTGGGGGTGCTAACTCTGGGGGTGCTGACTCTGGGGGTGCTGCGAGTCCTAGTGGTGGTGGGGCCGTGGGTGCTCCTACTGCAGGTCCTAGCGTTGGACAGCAGTGGCAGCCTAGTCGACTCGAGATGCCCTCACCGCAGCAGCTTCGTGAGTGGGTCGTTCGGCGAGGCCGCTCTGGTGCTGGAGCTTGGAGTTTTACAGCTTCTCGAGCTGCTGGTCCTAGAGGTGCTGGAGCTGCCGGAGATGGAGGTGCTAGTACTGCTGGCACTGGAGGTGCTAGAGCTGAAGGTATTGGAGGTGTTGGTGCTGCTGGTGCTGGAGGTACTGGAGGTACTGGAGGTGCTGGAGCTACTAGTCCCGGAGGCGCTTGTACTAGAGGTGCTGGATCTGCCGTAGCAGGTGGTGCTGCTGGTGCTGGAGGTGCTGGAGGTGCTACAGGAGCTGCTGGCACTGGAGGTACTGGAGGTACTACTGGTGCTAGAGGCGCTGGAGCTGGAGGTACTGGAGGTATTGGAGGTGTTGGAGCTGCTGGTCCTGGAGGTGCTCATACTAGAGGTGCTGGAGCTGCCGGAGCAAGTGGTGCTCCTGGTGCAGGAGGTGCTGGAGGTGCTACTGGAGCTGCTGGCACTGGAGGTGCTGGAGGTACTGCTGGAGCTGGAGGTGCTGGAGCTGTAGGTACTGGAGCTACTAGAGGTGCTGATGCTGCCGGAGCTGGTGGCGATGGTGGTGCTGGAGGTGCTGGAGGTGCTACTGGAGCTGCTAGTGCTGGAGGTGTTGGTGCTGCTGGTACTGGAGGAGCTGGAGCTGTTGACAGTACAGGTACTACCCCGCGCCGACCGTTTTTCTACCCGCAGCCGGAGTCGTCCCTACCGCCGCCTGACTCGGTCCTTCGCCAAGTTCTTAGTCTCCCGTCCTCCACTGGCCTCACTCCACCTCTCTTGTGTCCACCGACAGACCAGTCTCAGCCACAGCTACTGCCTGGCTCCCCGCTCCCTGCTCCTGCTCCTCACACTGAGGTGACTGAGTCCCTGACTGAGCGTCGTGAGCCTGAGAATCGTGCTTCCACACCTGTTCGTGCTCGTCGTATCGCTCTTCCTCGTCCTCCTGCTATCCCAGGCACTCACGTTATGGCACTTTGTCTGCCCTCTGTTCCACAGCGTGTTCCCCTGCCGTCTCCTCCGGCGTCCTCTCTTCCTGACGGTCCTGACCCTGCGTCCGACCTTGCTTGTGCTGCCAGCCCTACTGTCACGTGTCTCCTCGCTACTGTCGTCACTGACCATGCCTTTGAGTCTACAGCTGCGTTTGCCCTATTCACTGAGCTAGTTGACTTTGCTGCTAGACGCCGTCTTCATTACGTCGCGGATCTTGTTACTGAATCTGAGTCTGTCTGTCCTCCATCCCTTGGGGGTGAGCCTGTCCTTAGCAGTGACTGTCAAACGTATACATGCTATAGTCTGTTTAGGTTGTAGTGGGGTAGTCCTTAGAGGGTACAACACTTTTGTGTTTGCTACTTGTACCCAACTGCTTGCTAGTTCAGTCATTCATTCGTTCACATTCTAACATGGTATTCTGAGCAGGTTCCCTAGTGGGAACGTTTTTTTTGGGCCCACCACGATTTTTTTTCCTACCCGAAGCGCGCCTCGCGCCTGTTTCACCTGCGCCGTCGCGCGCCCTGCCCTTGTGCCGTCCGTCGTGGCCCTGCCTTAGCGGCCCGTCGTGGCCCTGCCTTAGAGGCCCGTCCCGGCCCCTCCCTAGAGGCCCGTCGCAGCACTCCCTAGAGGCCCGCCCCGGCCCCGCCCTAGAGGCCCACCGCGGCCCGTCCCGGCCCCTCCCTAGAGGCCCGTCCCGTCGCGTCCCGGCCCCTCCCTAGAGGCCCGTCGTGGCCCTGCCTTAGAGGCCCGGCCCGTTGCTGGCCCGCCCCGGCCCGTTGCCGCCCGTCGCCGACCGTCGCCGCCCGTCGCAGACCCGTCGCCGGCCCAATGCCGCCCGTCGCCGACCGTCACTGGCCTGTTGCCGCCCGTCGCCGGCCCGTCGCCGGCACGTTGCCGCCCGTCGCCGGCTGTCGCTGGCCCGTTGCCGCCCGTCGCCGGCCAGTCGCCGGCCCGTTGCCGCTCGTCGCCGGCCCGCTGCCGCTCGTAGCCGGCCCGTCGCCAGCCCGTTGCCGCCCGTTGCTGGCCCGTCACTGGCCTGTCGCGGCCCTGCCTGCACCGCCCGTAGCGGCCCTGCCCCCTGCTGCCGCCCCAGTTGCGGCCCTGTCTGCACCCGCCCCTGGTAAGCACCCGCGCCGCCAGGAGCCGAGCCGCGCCGCCCAGCCGAGCCGCGCCGCCCCACCGCGCCGCCCTGCCCTACCGAGCCGCACTGCTGTGCACTGCCCTACTGCCTCTGCTCCTACTGCTGCTACTGCTGCTTTTGCTGCTACTGCTGCTGCTCTTGCTACTGCTCCTACTGCTGCTATGGCTAGTCCTACCGTTCTTACCTTTGACGCTGAGGGACGGGCAGTTGACTTTGATGTGTGGGTTGACGATCTCCAGCTCTTTCTTCAGTGTGATTCTAGGGATAGGGTGTCCCTGTTTGATCACACGTCCGGTGTTTCTACTGCTCCTACTGCCACTGCTGACAGTACGGTTCGCTCGCAGTACATCACTCGTGACGCTGTTGCTCGTCTTGCGGTTCGTAGTCACCTGCCGCCCGCTGAGCGCGCGCATTTTGGCCAGTACAAGACTGCTCAGTCTTTGTACGACGCTGTAGTTGCGCGCTACTCCTCCCCTGCCACTGCTGCACTCAGCCGCATCATGCTGCCGTACCTTTTCCCTGACCTTGCTGCCTTTGCCACAGTCGCTGACCTAGTTGCTCACCTTCGCACTAGTGACGCCCGCTACCGCGCTGCCCTTCCCACTGAGTTCTGTGCCAAGAACCCCCCCCCCATGTACATCACCCTTTACTACCTAGTCACCCGCCTCCCTGACTCACTTTCTTCAGTCAGGGACCACATTCTCTCCCTTTGCCCCACCGAGCTGACTGTCGACCTGCTAGAGGAGCGCCTTGCTGCAGCTAAGAAGAGTATCTTAGCTGTAGGTGCTTCTCGCGGCGACCGTCGCACCCCTTTCTTTGAGGGGTGTTCCCCTGTCCCCCTTCGCCCCTCTGTTGCTTCTGCTGCTGCTATCGACCTCGTTGGCACTGAGGAGGTTGGAGCTGCGTCTGCCCCTAGTGGGAGACGCCGCAGCAGCAAGGGCAAGGGGAGCAAGGGTGGTGGAGGGGGCGGCGGGGGGGGTGGTGGAGGAGGTGGAGGAGGCGGAGGGGGTGGCGGTGGAGGTGGGGGTGGTACCGGGAGTGGGGGCTTC